AATAAAAAGGTTTCATTTTGATTTCTCACTTAATTTTCATTTGAGATTACAATGAAGATTATATACAAGTGAATAATAGTGTTTATTAATAATCTTACCGTGATAAGGACATTGTATACGACCCTCATTAACCGAACCCAAATGAAGTGGGCACGCCCTATGAGCACATGTGTTTCGAACACACCCGGGTTTTCCGTCTTTACCTCGAAAAAGAACCCATTGTTCTTCAAAACAATCTATGGGAATCTGGTACAAAAAATTGTAAAGTTAACTCATATGGGAATCTGGTACAAAAAATTGTCCTTAGTCTACCCCGACTTGCTTGGGACTAAAGACTATGTTGTTGTTGTAACTCATATGTGAAAGTTGATTCAACCTTGCATATTGTAAAAATAGTTTATGCTCTGATTACAAATAAAAAGAATATTAAATGTCATAATACTCGTAAGTATAAATCTGAATTAAATATGTAACTTTTAAGGAAAATGAAAATGAATCATTGTGCAATGTACTTCCAAAGCAAAAAATGAAGGCTATTTTTCTCTTGATTAAAGATCTTTCAATACTCGAGATCGAGTTTACTCAAAAATCCAAGCCTTCACAAACATAGTTAAAGAGTTAAAAATAAGAACAGTTTCAGACAAGGGTTCTCAGTTCTCACCATTGTGTTGTTGTCTTTCAAGTCTGAGGAAAAAGCTACAGGGTACCAAAAATTTTTCAGACGGTCATTGTAAGGTTGTACCGGTCCCGACACGTTGAGGTTTTTCCTGGGCTTTTTGCTCTTCATCTTATCAGGAGTTTCTGTTGTTTTTTGGTCTCGCATTATTTTATCATTAACAAGTGTTTCCATATAAGCTAGCTTTTCCAAAGCAGTCGATACTCTTGCTTCCGATATATGTACCTGTGCATAAATGATTAAAAATTCATGTCCAGCTCAGTTTAACACATATCTCCTTCTTGAGAATGCAAGTTTTTGTGAAAAAGAACAAAATATCTCAAAAGGGCATTTCGCAATTTTTACGCCGTCATTTGAGCAAATTTCGGATTTTTCAAGTAATGAAGTAGTTGTTAACCTGATTATGTGCTCGTGCTAGTTCCTCCTGTAACTCCGCAAGTTCCTTTTTAAGAGTTCCAATCGATTTGAACTCACGAGCAAGAGGGTTTAATACTTCCACTACCTACATGCAATTTAAAATTTGACAAAAAATAAAAATAAAAAACAGTTACAGATAGCAGGAAAAACAACCAAAGGTAAAAGAAAGATTGCCAATTTTATCAAACTATGAAATAAGGAGAATTTTTCTGTCAGAGTACCTTTTCGTGCAGAAGCATAATCGTGAGAACATCTTGCCGAGCCCTCCAATCACAATATTGTAAGTCATATCTAGCTAACTCTAAAGCCTGGTTCACATCAATAAACTTGCCTTTATACTGCGGGGCATTAGAACGTGGGTCTGCCACATCAAAAAGTGTCGTCCAAGAACTTCTCCTCGCGACTAATCCACTTTCCTCACCAATTATGGCAAACACTCCAAAGCCTCCCTTTACACACTGAGATGCAAAATGCAACATAGTTAAGGCAATAGTATAAGGTAATCATAAAAGTATTATCACAGAGAAGTTTCTTTTAAACTCCTAACATGGTGAAAAACAAGTGACTATCATTTGTCATTCTAAAAAACTGCATTACATTACATCAAATTTCGAGAAAGTTCGAAAAGATTCAGTCTTTACACCGAATACATAACACGTTTTGAAAACTTTCTCATTTCCATCCTTATTTTTCTTTGCAAGTAAATGGAGAAGCTTCCATAAGCAAGAAAATTAACACATGCGACCTTAACACAACGGCACAGGAATCAAAAGGCACATATGCAACAACAAAACACAGCATGAAAAAAATTTATTCTTTAAAATCACTGCTGCCAAAAGAAATCCCATAAACAGCACAACAAATTTGATGAAAAAACTTCTGCTACCCACCAAAACACATCTCAAATTGCAGAAAAAGCAAATTAATCCAATAATCTACAGAAAATTAAATTAACAAGCAATAGAATAACACCACAGCCAAAGGGACTTTCTTAGTGCCCTGAAGCTCCATTTTCAACTATTTAGCTGATTGAGCCATTTACACCTAAAACACAGGCAAAAAAGACACACAAAAACGCATAAAAATCGAAACTTTTCAGTACCCTTTTGCTGTTAAACTTGTTTGAACGGGATAATGATATGGGGAGAGTCAGAGCAGCAGTAGCAATGGCGGACATGGCAGGGTCGGGTCGGGTCGGGTCCGAAGCTCGTCAGAGAAGAAAGAGAGAGAAAATAAAAGAACGGATTTTTTCTTGAAGTGAGAGATTAATTTCTTGATAAGAGGTTGGTGTTGGCCGCGATCCTGGCTGCCCTTCCATGGAATGCCACGTGGAGTGTCGTGGGGTCCTTGTGTTTGACACGTGGCAGCTTGGTTTTCCACACACTCCCGTCTCCAGTTTGTCCAATTGGGATACAGGAATCTCTGACTTTCTTTTTATAATTTTCCGCTATATATAAATTCAAAATGGGAGTCTAAAGTGAGAGTTTTTTATATAGCAAAATATTATCTTTTGCAATATGATTTGAATAAAAATAGTACTAATTTTTTATACCAAATAATTTAGTTTTGGATTAACATGTATATACATATTTCATATATTTAAACTATTACATATAAATCTATTTATTATCTTCTTTTTATAATGTGCATATTATCTTATTTTATAAATTTGTTACTTTGTCCATATTATTCTCTTATGTGTTTTAAATAAAAATATTATAAATAAAACTAATGATGTATATAAATTAATTTTTAGAATTTAAAATAATATTGTTAATTCACTTAGTTATTTATTGTAAATTGTTATATATTGTCCTTATTTATTTTTTTCAACTTCAACAAAATATATATTTTTTTAAATTTTTATTGTATATTTAAATATTTTATCAAACACCCGTGTTGTACACTGGTATTGTACTAGTATATATTTGTTTTAGAATTATTCTATTTATGTAAAATGTATTTAAATTTTTATAATGTATTTTAGAATTATTCTATTTATGCAATATGTATAATGTGTTTTAATTTTTATATGGGTAAAGTTTGTTTGAATTTTTTTAATTATTTATGGGCACAATTAAAAACAACGATAAAAAGGATGATGAGTAAGATATAAATGGATAAAATGTTGAAATCTGAAATCATAAGTGATATAATAGTGTTTTTTTATTTTTTGTTGATCACAAATTTCAATAAATACTCATAATTATATAATTGAATCGTTTCATTTTTGCAACTTTCTAATTGTTCCAAAGTTTTATAAGTTGAATTAATTAAATTTAATTAAATTGTAGGCTATATTTATTTTGTAAAATTAAATTGTGTAGAATATGTTGATTTATATATATATATATATTTAAAAGAACCAAATATGAATATATTATGAGAATTATGATAGTGTTTAGTGTGATTAAATTATTACAATTGATCTATTTTGTTGTTTTATTTTCTGAGTGTGGGGTTCAAATTCATATCCGATATCTTTTACTTGATTGGCCAGCTAGGATAGTCAAGATATATTCCTTTATCTGTTTCTTAATTTCGTTTTCATGCTTGCCTTTAAAAAATAATAATAATAATAATAATAATAATAATAAATCCATTACTATTAGACCACAATTTTTTTTTTAGGTGGATATCTAGTTTTTCCGAATCCTCTTGCTTCAATTAATGTTGTCTTATAGAGAATTTATAAATATTGGGAACTTTTTAAAAAAAAAAAAATATTGGGAACTTTCTCTGTGTCCTGGTAAAAAGCAGGCCTATTAAAACAATATATAAACTCCATAAAAATGATAAAAAAAAAATAACCTGAATATAAATTTGTGCAAACATGTTAAAATAGATCTGTGATACCCCAAAGGTACACCATTATCTGAATTAATTTTATTTTACTTTATTTTATTTTTCATGGTATTATTAAATAATAATAATAAATGAAATACATATCTCTATTTTTCCTATATTATTAAAATTTGTGTACAAATTTCTAGAGTATTTTATTATCCATTAATATCTTAGACATCTAATAATATAGTTGGCTTTGATAGATATAACTATGATCATCCATCTAAATATATACATATTTATATAAATATGTAAAGTGCTTAACTTTAAAAAAAAAAAATGTATATATAACTGATAAGTTATATATATGTGTGTATATTCTTGTATAACTTGCGAAGTTGTGATATATATATAGCTGCGTTTAAAGTTTAGTATTAAGTATTAATTATAGATAAATTAGTAAATTGTTTAGGTAAAAATATTCATCTCATATATATATATATATAAAAAGGAAGGAGGGAGATCAAATACGCCTACCCAATCCCCAATCGAATTCACGGAATTCAAAACATCACATTTTTCCATTTGCGTCTCTTACTCTTCTCAAACATCACCGATTTCAAAACATCACATTTTTTCATTTGCGTCTCTTACTCTTCTCAAACATCCACTCATGTTATCAGTGTAATCATTACTTTTTGGCTGTAATCTTCATGTTGCAGATAATCTTTCTACACCATTTACACACAATCTATTCTACTTAACCCTTTAGTTCTGGAGGAGACACAATTTATCTTAACCATTTTATACCTCCTTCACACAAAACTCAAATGTCATCTTTTTTAATTTACACAAAACTCAAATGTCATATTTTTTAATTTAAACCACGCAAAACCACGAAATAATTTTCTACCTCAACTCAATTTTCACTCCACATCGATCAACCACATCTTGGGACAGTTGTTCGTAGTAGAAGTCTGAGAGCACACATCATCCTAATCCCTTAATGCCAAGTATTAAAATCTTAAAAATGTGTTATCTCCAAAAAAAAAATACGGATGCATGTATATATTATATACTGTTTCTTGTTGAAAATACTATTGGGATTGTTACATAAAAATTTTTTACCCGTGATGCGTATATATATCTGTAGTGCTTTATTGATAGATTATTTATTTATCATTTTTGTATATATAGCTGCGATCCGTAAACGTGTATATATGTGATGTGTATTAATATTTTATCTGTTCCATCTGTGTACTAATATTTTATCTGTTTCATCTATTCCTATACGTAACGTTTATTAATATTTTATCTATTTTATTGTATTAAACTTTTTATCTGTTGTGTGTACGAGCTTTTTATCTGTTATTAATATTTTATCTGTTTTACTCTATAAAATTTTTTATCTGCGCTGGATACGTATTGTGATTTTATCTGTTTTGTATATGTATTGTGTATGTTAATCTGTAATAAGAGACCAAATTCTTAATTATTATAAGAGGAGGTGAAATGTTGATTTATTATAATAATAATAATACTCAAAAGTTTAGAAAATCACTAATCTTCAATAAAGTAAATGTGAAACTCGAAAATCAAGTGTGTCCATCCACACCCCCATCTAACACTAACATCCGGGCCATACAAGTTATACTTCTAGAAAATATTGTTATCACTATCCTCCGAATGTTGAGATTACCTTACTTGTGCTATTGATTAAATTGATGTGGCCTTGTACACTTAACTCTTGCCGTGTATTGACTTGACTGTTTGGGGCGGTTAGACCAAACCTAGAATCGAGCAGCGTGGCTGCGGTTCTCGGTACGGCTACCGTTGTTGTCTATTCCCATAACTGAGGACGGGGTGTTCCAAAGTGGCTGGGTCGTAGAATTAGGGTATAATCGCGAGTCTCTGGGCGGAAGCCCATAACTAAGGAGTTTGTCGAGCCCGGATAAGATATAAGGTTGGCTTGGGACTGCATAGTCCATACTGGAGCTTCGACTCAATCCTAGAGCTTCGGCTCAATCCTGGAGCTTCAGCTCAAACTGAGGCCAAAGGCCTATATTGCTGGGAGTCATAAGGAAGAGCCTAGGATCATGTCAAATCGACTCATTCCAAAGATAAACTGTTTTGCTAACATACTAATCTCTGCTACATTAATTAAGTTACTTTCAATCCACGGGGATTGAAATCACTGCTTTATTCCATTGATATTGTTTCAAAACATGCATCATAATTTCTTAAAAATATTAAGCCACACATTGCACACACTCACCCACTCACTGAGAATTTTTGCCTCATTCCACCTATTTTGTATTTTGAAACCCCCCTCCCCCCAGACGAGGAGCAACCATGGTGGAAGAGGCTAACTCTGAAGAAGAATTTACCAACTGAAGCATGGCCTCCTTATTGTCAACATAGTCTTAAATAAAAGTTATTTTCGGGATGTAATAAAATTAGGACTTAATGTTATTGATTGTCATTTGGTACTTGTTTTATTTCGAGACTATTCCGCTGCCAGTTTGTAATTTATATTTATTCAGACCATGTTGTATGACTTGTATCCCGATTATCAAACTTATTCTCACCGGACTAAGTTTGAATTTTTATTTTATATCCTTGTTATTATTTTTATTATTCATTGTTCATCATATTACTGCTTGACGTTGCGTCCCCGTCCAACTCGGTGTGGGGGGCGTGACAAGATCACATGATATAACAATATGGCTTGGTCAAAGATATTTTTTTCTATTTTTACAGTAAATATGTACGCTTTTCACTGAAATGTCATATTATAAAAAAAATGATATAAATAAAAGTATGATGTTTAGACGATAATATTTGGCTAAAATATTACAGATTTGTCTTATTGTTAGACTGTTTCATATAATTTCAGAATGCGCTGAGCCTAAGTGACAGTCTCGCATGCCTCGAAATCCTATTTGGCGAAAAAACATGTTTCGTAGTTTGGTTTAAATAAAAAATAATATTATTATAAATCAATAATTTTAGGTTTGGACATTCCAAAATTATTGAAAAACTAACTTGGTAATTCCATAATAGTTTGACTAATATGACCCTTAAGTAATATTGGAACTTTTGGTAATGATATTGATTGACTAATATAACCTTTATTTGTTTTGAAAACTCTCAATCGGCTCATTAATTTTCACGAAAACCTCAAATTAGCCTAATAAATACTTATATTTAATTTTAAACAATTGTTGCTTATTATTATTTAATTTTAAAAATATTTTTTTGAACAAGTACACGAGTATTGTACTAGTAATAATTTATACACAAAGCAAACAATTAGGTAGTTATGATTTGTTAGTAGATATTAAAATTTACAAATTGAATTAAATGTTACATTTTAAAAAACAATATATACAAAAATATAATATTTTATTATATAAGCATGCATTTCTTTTAAGGTATGTTGACCGGGTGCATTATTTATTTAAAAAAAAATAAAAAATATGTGGCAAAAAATAAAAAAAAAAGTTGGGGAAAAGAATAAAACGGCCGGATTTTGAAAATCCGTTTTTCTAATAAAATTTTTATTAGAAAAACGGATTTCCATAATCCGTTTTTGTTTTTGATTTTTTTTTTAAAAGAAAACGGTTGAATTTAATAATAATAATACATCTACTGTATAACACGGATTTTCGAAATCCGTTTTAAATTAAGAAAATAAAAAAAAAAAACGATTAAAACGGATTTCCAAAATCCGTTTTTTGCTTGTTAAAAATACCTGCGAAATCCTCCCCAACCACAGAATAGAACCCCTCTCCCCTTCCCTTTCTTATCTTCCCAAATTTTCTTATCTTTTGCTCGATTTTTGGCGAATTGAAGCTGCATTAAAAAAATAAATAAATTTTCAACCAATCGTCGAAGAAGAGGTTAGTTGTTATTTTAATATAATATAATATTAATTTTTGGTTGTTTATGAATGTTTAAGAGATATATTTGGTTAATTGAGTATTGTTTAGAAAATCTTGAATGTTGGTTTAATATATGTTGAATATTTATCCAAATTGTTTATGAATTTGATGTTATTGTTGAATTATGGTGATTAGGGTTTTTGTGGTGTTTTCGATAAATTAATTGACAATTTTTTTTGTTGGAGTAAAAATATGATTAATTAAATGAGTTTTAAATGTAGATTGGTAAAATAATAATTAAAATTTTCTCGGGTGTTTGATTAGCCATTTTAAATGTAGATTGGTGATTAGGGTTTTTGTGGTGTTTTTGTAAATTAATTGACAATTTTTTTTTTGTTGGAGTAAAAATATAATTAATTATATGTTGTTGTTGGAAATGAGTTTTAAATGTAGATTGGTAAAATAATAATTGAAATTTTCTCGGATGTTTGATTAGACATTTTAAATGTAGATTGGTAAAATAATTGAATTTTTAAATGTAGATTGGTAAAATAATAATTGAAATTTTCTCAGAGTGTTTGATTAGCCATTTTGTGTTGTTGTAATTTGTAAAATAGAAATTTTTTTTGTGCAACAGGTTATAAATGTCGTCTAACGGTCCCTACTTTGTTACTGTGTACTGGAAAATTTCCCAGAGTGAGTTATGGAATTTTTCGAGTTATATGTCTCGTCCGGATTGTTCATTTTTTATTAATGGAATAATATCATATGAACAATTGGTAGATATGATATACGAAAATGGTGGGTTTCGTGATAGTTGGACAATTTCGGATATTACTTTGATGGCGAGACAACAGGATGGTTCGTTTATTACCGGAAGAACGAATAATGATAATGCTCTTTCGTGGATTTACTACTCTCTTCCTATGTCATATGTATTTTTGTATATAGTGTTGGAAGCAAACACACAGGTTACACAGGTTGAGGATCCTACGCCATCATATGGTTACGAGGGAATGTTTGGTGGTGAGGGTACATGGACTACGCATGCCGGTAATTTTGGTGAAGGGACGAGTAATTTCGGCGAAGGGACGAGCTTTACCATGAGAGGACCGGACATTGAGGAAGAAATTGTTGGAGATGAAGATTTCATTCCCGGTGAAGACGATTTCACTGATGAGACCTCGGAAGCCGAATCAGACAGATCAATTAATGAGGAGAGCGAACAAGAATTCATTGAAGAACACTCCTTTCCAAATGAAGGCCTCTACGATTATCGCGAGATGGGTGAGTGGGACTCGTAGTGTGTAGACAGAGACGAGTATACCTTGCCAGTCTGGGATGGACATGCCGAGACTATCCGTTTGGGTACAGTTTTTCGTACCAAGGAAGAAGCCCGGACTGGTATTCTGGCTTGGAATGTTGAGAATCTTAGGGCGGTCCGGACAATAGATTCCAACAAGAAGTCGTACAAAGTTGTGTGCAGATCAGCTGAAGTTGTACCATGTATATGGAAGGCTCGGGTGAGTTTTAACAAACGGGATCACGACATGTGGGAGGTAACCGAATGGACCGATAGCCACACTTGCATGCAGGTGTTCGAGAGAAATGACCACAAGAATGTGACCGCCACCATGATCTCAAATCTTCTGTTGGCTAAGATTCAGAAGCAGGTGACCTACAGTGTGGAAATAGTCCAGGCCGACGTAAAAAGTGCCTGGGGCGTCGATGTCAGCTACAAGAAGGCGTGGCATGGG